TAAATATATGGAAAAGACAGGGCCTTGGCCCTCGGCAGATCTAACTCTAGGTGGAGTTCTATGTGTTTTACATTTTCTATCCGGACTGTTTGATGAGTTCTGCCTCAGTATACACTAAATATATAGACTCAGCTTACAGTGATGAGTCTTGACTGACACTCCCACTGCAGGAGGCAGCCTCATCAAGGATGCAGGGCCTGTGCTGCCTTCAATAACTGTAGGAAAGTGTAAATGAGCTAGATAAACTTATTATATGACGTAATAATGAAGTTGAAGACTTGGAGAGATTGTTATTTAAAATAGTATATAAGCTACAACAAAAGGAGTGGCATACATGATGTGTTTGTGACATTGTTGGGGCTTAAAGGCTCAGTGTGTAAGATTTAGGTGAAAGGGAACTATTGGCACAAATTGAATATAAAATAATCCTAGTGTGTTTCATTAGAATTGTATGCATTGTTTTTTTCTTTACCCTAGAAAAGGCCCTTTATTTTTAAATACTTTATATTTACATCAGGGGGTCCTCTCTTCGAGGGCCGCCATGTTGTTTATAGTCGCCCAGACTGGACAAACTAAACTTCTTTTTCATGTTTGGAAGGTTGATTGAGGGGTATTCAGCTAGAACATGCAATTTCACCACTAGATGTCAATAAACACACTGTACCTTTAATATAAGGTAGCTAATCCTTGACATCGATGCTTTTATTCGATTTTAACTGTGACTTGTATGATACACAATTATGATGCATCATATTATTATAATTACTTTTTTTTCCTTCCGGACAACACAACTGTATAAACAAGTTGATCTGTTGTTTTAGTGAATTTTTGCACAGGTTCAACTGCTAATTTCCCTCTATTTTAATTGTTATTATATAAATGTGGGTATAAAAAAATCCCCTATTGGATACGGAAGGTTACACAATGCAGTTTAAGGACAGTGATCTTAAGAATATTTATTTAACCCACAACAAAACCTGAAGCTTTCATGACATTGTTTGGGATTAATACAAGGAAGCTAAACCCAAAATTTTTTTTTTTTTTTTTTACATAATTCTGTGACACAAATTAAGGACTGTGACGCACAGCCTGCACAAACACACAATCCATCCTCAGGGGTGAAAAAAACGTTTTTTTTTCACTATTTGTAAAAATGTCCACTGTACTCTGCAAACTCAGCTAATGACCTCTGAGCATAGAGATTTCCGAGGTGTCCCTGAAGGCAGCACAGGTCTGCACACAGTGAATGGGAATCATCAGTGTGTAGTTTGAGTCTCAGGGAGAAGTCATGTTGTCCTCAGTGTTGTGCGTGTTCTAGTGAGTTGTAGTGTGTGATCATGGCCAAACAGTACGACATGTTGTTCCGGCTGCTCATGCTCGGAGACTCTGGGGTGGGGAAGACGTGCATGTTGCGCAGGTTCACCGACAGTGAGTTTGACCCGTCACACATCTCCACCATCGGTAAGAAAGAAGCTCTCCAACAGGTTCTGTGTCTGAAGTCATCATGTGTGTCAGGTTGAACCGGATTAATATCAATGCTGACATTTTACAGGATGAATGTTGCTGTCAGTTATTATTTTTTACTCGTAATTTGGCCCTTTTGTTTGATGCAGACCTACTTAGCCAGTAGGATTAGTGCAAACAGCCTCAGGTCACAACTGCAACTGAATGAAAAACATGTCAGCACCAGCTCTGAGAAAGCTGCACTTGTTCATGTCCATCCTAGATTAACTACACAACATATAGTTCTACTTGGTTAATTTGCACGTGTGCTTTGTACAGTGAGTAAGTAAGTATTGGACATGTTGAGCATGTTTTTATTTTTGTAACTTTCATTTTAAGTGTTTAACTTTTACTTACTTACTTTACAGTACAGTTTCTATTTACTATGCTCGGTGTACAACAAGAAACCAATGGGTCATTCCGTGTCAAATCATACACACCCAAAACCAACAGTGTCTTAATGAAACCATGTTTGAATTCGCTACATCCATACATACATTTTTAATCAAGATCCATGAATTATACTCTGAGAAATCAAGGAAAATGTTGAAAAAAAATCTCGCAAAGGAAGTGAAAAAAATCTGGATCCACACCAAAATTCCTTCCAGTAGTTTTTGCATAATCCTCAAACCATCAGAAAGACAAAATACAAACAAACGCAGATGAAAACATAACCTCTGCATCCTGATTTTGTTACATGAGTAATCTATTGATCTGAAAATTCATCTTTATACAATCTCAATCAACGGCGATGTGGCCAGTCACAATCGCAGAGCTTCCCCAAGAAGCTCACACAGAAAAGTTTGACACGGAATGATGCCAGAGCAAATTCCTTGTATTTGAAAAACGACATACGAACAAGCTTTATTCGGAAAGACGGATGATCCTAAGAAAAAACACAGGATGTAGAAGGGGAGGAGAAATCATCATGACCTTTGCCCTCTGAGTCACTGGCGGTTCTAGCTTGTATAGCACCTTGGACGAACCCATTGGAATAACAACCATAAATACCAAAATTATAAACATTCATAATAATCACTAATGTCAAAAATGATATACAAAGAACAGAAAAAATTCTAGGATATAAATGTTGATAAAATGAGAAATAAATCACAAATTTAATAAAAAACTGAAATTAAAGTAAATTGCACAAATAAAAACACATAGAACACACTTAAAAAGAAGAGAAACCTAATTATTATTGAAGTTGCCTTCGCCGAGAAGGTTGTGTTTTCACCCGTCTGAACAGACACCACTTGGAAGGATGCTGTACAAGTCAGGGAAGAACACATTCAATTTTTGTGCAACTCCGGATCAGGGGGCAGATCCAGCGAAATTTAATTTCTCTTTCTTTAACATTGTGAGATGATTGAATTTAAGGGGACCTCTGCTGAGTGCCATTCTAGTTTATCCTGTACTTTTATTCACGGACCGTAACTCGCGGACTGGTGAGCTCATTAGTGTTTCATATCACAGCAGCCTGTTTCCTGACTGGGTCACAGCTAATGACTTGGATGACAGGGGTGGAGAAAATAGTCTGCACATGCTTCCTATGCAGGATGTACCACACAGCTCAATGTGCTGTGTTATGACTCTAATATAGAAAGTGCTGTCGTGTGGAGTGGAGTCTACTTCTGGGTAAAAGGTCCATCAGCTTGCAGGGTGGAAAGGCTTTGCATGGGATTAAACCCAGTTGTTCCCACAGAAAGTGCACGGTCCATAAGATCTGCTGGCTTTCAGATCCCAGATATTGTGATTTTCGGTAAACCTCAGTCAGCCCTCCAGTTCTCCCCCAGGGCATTTCTTACAAGCACTGCGCCTGTGCAGGAAGCCACAGACATGCAGGTTGAACACGCGGATCTGTTGACTGTGCAGCTTTGCATTCATTACGTGGCACGTAGCTACAAGGTGTTTTAAAAAAAAGATTTGTGCGACTAAGCTGGGCTTAGAGCTGAGAATACCAACTGAAATACTGCTTTGGTTTAAAAGGGAAAATATTAAGTAATGATATCCAAACTTCTGAGACGCCAGTGATGATGTTATCTATTGACAAATCAATTAGCATAAAGGAGTATGTATGTAGTGTAAGAAAAAACAAAATCTGACTCTGCTCAGGTCAGTGTGTTACAGCAACAAAGTGGATCTTGAAAATACACAGTCGGTAAACGTTATAAAGGGGGATAGAAATAACAGATATATAATGTAATAATAATGTAAAAATTAACATATCTGAAATTGAGAAACATAATAAAAATAAAACTGATAGAACTGTGTGAAAATGGCCTCATAACATAGCTTAGTTAAAGGATGAGAATAAAAAATGTTATTAAGCTGGTTTTAAAAACCATACGCCACATTTTTGAATATCAAATATATTGTATTGAGCATGTAGCATTGCTTTTACTGTATATGAACCAAAAAAGTGACTCAGAGTTACACACACTCATTCCTGAGCTCCCTCGTCCTGTAACCTGGCAACAGCAGCAGACCACTGCCGTTCACAGCAGTCCCCCTCCCATGTTTAAATGCAGTGATTTGAAAGTTGACATTAAGTCATTACAAAGAAAGAGTGTCTCTGAGCAATACTCATTACTGCTCAAAAACACACATCAACCCAGATCAAATATTACGACAATAATTGTTCACAGTGGTTGATGTTAAGCTCCTGTTTTCTGTTTGCAGGTGTCGATTTTAAGATGAAAACATTAGAAATAGATGGAGTCAAGGTGCGAATACAGATATGGTGAGTTACATGTATTTTTTATTACATATACAAAATGCATATTGTGTGATTCTCTTTTGGTTTATGGTTGTTTTTATTATCTTCATCCAAAAGCGAGGTTGATTTCACATTTTGTATTGCTGTCACTCAAAACACTCAAACAGCCCTTGCTTGTGCTCTGATTTACTCTGCTTGTGCTTGAACACTACCTCAAATATTTTGTCATTTGGACAGATTTTCTGCTCTCAGATTTTATTTGTTTGAGTGTAAGTTCACAGTTGGAGCACAAGCAGGGTTTTGAGTGAAAGTATTACAAAATCTGAACGTGAATTCAATCCATCCTGCTCTCATACTGAAAGACCATGCTTTTAAATGAAGAGAGGAGAGAAACCCTCCATATTGTTACTGTGTGCTTGTCTCATGCGCAGGGACACAGCTGGTCAGGAGCGTTATCAGACCATTACCAAACAATACTACAGACGGGCACAGGTGATCCTCCATCCATGTACAGTAAACAGTCACTGGAGTCAGGTTACCGTCACGGGCCGCTCATTCTTTAATCCTTCCTCTGTGGATTCTTGTGCAGGGTATCATTTTTGTGTACGACATCACCAGCGAGGCGGCCTTTCAGCACATAGCGAAGTGGGCCAGCGATGTGGACGACGTAAGACAGTAAACATTCTCATCTGACTTCACCATGACCCAGTATTGCTGCACATCTAGTTGGTGAGTGTGATCCCCATCCTCTGGCTTGTCTTATCATTCTTGTTGTTGTCGTTTTGCAGTATGCACCCAACAAGATGCAGAGGATCCTGGTAGGAAACAAGTCTGATGAGGAGCTGAGGAGGCAGGTGACAACGGAACAAGGAAGCAAGGTTTGATGGATTGTTTGTTGTCAAGCTTGTTTGTTCAAGCTGACCAGGAAGTGTCTTGATCCCTATGTTTATTTGCTTGTGGGAGAAAATTGATTTAAGTGTTTTCATTTTTAACAATATCCAACTGAATCTTGAAGCTTGCAGAAACCTATGAGATGGAGTTCTTTGAAACCAGTGCTTCCACCAGCAATAACATCCGAGAGGTAGGACATCTCCACATAAGCATCAGACATATGTTCAAATATTGTGGGGAACACCCTGCGACTTTCTCTTGTATTTTGTCCATATATATTAATTATTTTCCCTCTTCCGTCCTCCAGGCCTTCACTCGTCTGACCGAGCTGGTGTTGCAGGCACACAAGAGAGACACGGATAACTTGCTGTCGTCCCTGGATGATTATCTAGAGAAGGCTGCTCTGGAGGACGAGGGGAGTAAAGATACTGACAACAACGCTCAGAGGAGTTGTGCCTGTTAGCAAAAAGAGCCATGGCTGATACCTTCATGCATCTGTCCCCTATTGTGACTTGACTTCAGGCCTCCTTCACATCCTCCTTCAAGTGTGTGTGACTGTTAAATGCTGTTTGCAGCAGCTACCAGCAGAGGGCCCAGTTTTGTGGCACGATCACTGAAGAGTGGTAGCTGTGTCTGTCCAGCAAATCTATCAGTGTACATGCTCTCCTCTTTTTCCTTGTTAAATTGTAACTTTGGACTAAACATCCACTTCATCTCTTCTCCATTGCTTTTGCTTTCTTGTTGCCTGTTATTTGATTTGCCGTCTTCATATCACCAAACTGACTAATAACGTGATTTCATATTAAAGAAATCTGTCCCTTGATGTGAGTCTAGATGCTGTAATAAGGCAGACAGACAGGGTTGAATTATTTACACCTCAGACCACTCAGAGATGGATTCCTTTACACGCTGACTTATTTCCTCAAGGGAGCCACTGCTGTGCCATGTTCAGTGACCTTTGTGAATGCACCTATGTTCATGTACCATCCTGAATGTGCATGTTAAGTGTGTTTTATAAATGTGACTGGTGTTGCCTACTGCAAGTTGTGCACGGAAGCGTCATTGCTGCTGCTTAATTTAATGTTTTCAGGGTCTGCTGAGGGACACAGCCATTGTAATTTTAATTTGTAATGTTAATGGAAAAAGGGGGGGTAAATAAATTGAAATGTCATATTTAAATGTGATTAATGTGGGTTATCTGAGCTTTGCTGAGTCACTAAGTTTGGACTGTGAGTGAAGTTGGCTCTAAAGAGAGCAGCGACAGTAGATTCATTCATTTTTCATCACATGCTCTGAAAGACAGGTGATCATGGCTTAAATGTTTTATGACTGAGAAAACTGATACATGTCTTAAAAAACACATGGAGCCAAATAAATATTATAATACTGTTTTCCCTGCTTAACACTTTAGGGTCAAAAATATGAACACTAACCCTGCTCTGAAAAGGCTAACACACTTCCCTCAGTGAATCAAGAAACTGCTTCATTTATTTTTGTGTTTTTACAATAAGTTTCTACAATCTATCTAAAATTTATGAGGAGTATAGTGTGCCAGGTGTAGATCAGTTTCCTGCAGAGCTATTTGACACCCATGAAAGAGCAGCTTTCTGTCCTAAGTGAGTCAGGTGACTAAGCTGGCCGGACACTGTCAAGCACTGAAACCCCATCCAACCTCCAGTGTGGAAGCAAAGGAGCTGAGATGACGTTCATCGCCAAGACGTTCTACGACCTGAAGGCCACCAAGCTGGAGGGCGAATCGGTGGACTTCAACGTGTTCCGAGGACGGGTGGTGCTCATCGAGAACGTGGCCTCGCTCTGAGGCACCACCACCCAGGACTTCAGCCAACTCAATCAACTTCAGAGCAAGTACCCTCATCGGCTGGTGGTCCTGGGTTTCCCCTGTAACCAGTTTGGATATCAGGTGTGTTGATACCCTCCAATATCTGGTCTTAATGTAGGTCAGAAATCTCATTAAACTGCCTTATGTGCTTGCAATACAAACATTTTGGGACATAAAATACATTTTTCTAAATCTAAAGCTATGTCTGGCTAATTTGCATGAGCTTTTCCTGTTCCCCTTTGTGTGTATTTAGGCAGATTAATTCAACCTGAATCCAAACAGATATTCAAAGCCAATTTAAATCCATTATTTGATCAGGATCTTAAGCGTTGGAACACTCCCCATATCCTGGCTAGACTGAGTTTCACTCCTAAAAATGGGCATCCTCCCATGTTTGCTTTACACTGTGAGAATATTTCCTATCATATGCCAAAAATGAAATAAGGTTGGTTGTGTGTTGAAGTGGGCAAATTGTAGCTAATGCTGATACTTCAGCTCTGCTCCTGCATTTAGATTTGAAGCATCTTCCTGACACTCTCATGGAGGTTGGATTTGATTGCAACTGTTTAATCACCTTTGTTTCTGTTAGCATCAAATGTCAAAGCGAACTTTCTGTCTTAAGCATGCACAGTGTTGCTATGCAGAATATAAACAGCTGGACCAAATTCTGTCGATGTCAATCTGAAAAAAATGACTTGTGTTTCTAGGAGAACTGCTCCAACGGTGAGATCCTGAGCTCCCTGCAGCATGTGCGTCCAGGTGGTGGCTTTCAGGCCAACTTCACTATCTTTGAGAAGTGTGACGTCAACGGAACAAACACGCATCCCGTCTTCGCCTATCTGAAAGACAAGCTCCCCTACCCCGACGACGACCCCAACTCCCTCATGCAGGACCCCAAGTTTCTGGTTTGGAGTCCTGTCTGCAGGACAGACGTGTCTTGGAACTTTGAAAAATTTCTCATCGGGCCTGAAGGAGAGCCCTTTAAGAGATACAGCAAAAGGTTCCCCACCATTGACATCGAGCCCGACATTCAGAGATTGTTAAGATTAACCAAGACCTAAGAATAGCTCCCACCTCATAATGGCTTCTCATTTATCAAAGTCTATGCTGATGTGCTGTCCTCCACACTTTTAAGTCTTATTAAATGAGGGTAATATTCTGAAACTCTCAGAGAATATTACCTGAGGCCTTGTAAGTGCTTAACAGTAGTGGATGGCTACTTTCTGTATATTTTTGAAAACACTTTTGAGCATTTTTGGTTATGGAAAAAAACGTATAATGCAGGTTTAAACAGTAAAGTATGGTGATAAAAACATGAATCACATGAAGAACATTATGTATTTCCTTCTGCATGTTTCTCTTTCTTGTCCTATGTTGGTCTGGCCAGCAGATGGGGCTACAGATTTGATCAAGCAAACAGACAACCTCTGTAATGCATTAACATTCACAACACACACGCTCACACAATGTTTGCACTGGAATAAAACGTTAAACACTCTCACTGGTGCATCTTTCTTTTGAATTAGACTCCATGTTTTCACGATGTGCACCTCTGCTGCAGGTTGTCAAAAATAGCTGTTGTCATGTCTCTAACATCCCTGTATGGACATAGTAATGAGGCTTGAAACACAGTAAGAAGGATGTGCAGTTGTGATGCATGTTGTCAGTGCACATTAAAATGCCCTCTGAGATAACTCTCAGGCCATTCCTCTGCATTATGCATCCTCCAGCCTGCCGATTCATTCTTTATATGCAGAGATCTCCACTAATGCACTGGATCTACATTTCTCAGTGAGATCTGCTGATACCAGTAGCCTGAACAGCTGCAAGCTTTAGTGCCACAGTGACACCTGAAGACGAGCCCTAAGTCATGAATTCATTAAAGCGCCGCCCTCACCACCGTGTAATGAGCTCTTCTCCTGCTTAAGTTTTGTTTGCAAGATCTGCAGACTAGCAGTGGCTCACATCCACATCCGCTGATGATCAGAGCCACAGGCTGCACATGTCAGGCACTGCCCTAATGCTTTTGGCAAGTTGCTCGGGGGCATTTGTGACAGTTGTGAACTTAATCACGTGACACCGGTTTTCATTCCACTTGTGCTGACTGTAGTAGTTGTAGCCTGACTCACTACCGTTGCTCATTGTGGTGTCATGACAGATGATGGCACTCCGTTAATAAGTTAATCCTCCTGGTCAGTGTTTGACTGCCAGGTAGTTAATGTAGCCACATACACATGCAGCTTGCAGAAAAATATCACCACAGATCATTTATATATAAGATCAACCACCCCACCCAATTATATAGGGTATAGCTCTCGATAGATTAAAAAACATGGTGGAATAAGACAAACAATAATGTAATTACTCTTGAACTTGTGTAAATGTTACCTTATCTTGGCTGTAGATGTTCTCTAATTTTTCTGACTAGAATTAAATATCTTGACAAAACATTTACAGTTTTTCCATTGAACAGGTAAACAGGCTGAACTGGAACAACTGTATGTATGAAGTATAATTTTTGTTTTGTCACTACTTCATTGAATTCTGAGCTCTTGGCTTAGGTTAGGGTTAAGACGTGAATAGTGATTAATTTAAGGTTAGGGTTAAGATGTGAACTGTGGTTAGGTTAGGGTTAAGGAGGAGGTTTAGGAAACGCAGTCCACATTGAATGGAAGTCAACACAAAGTTCTAAAAAGAACAGCTGCAGAAACCTGTGTATGTATTGTGTGTGTGTGTGTGTGTGTGTGTTCAAAGATTACTATTTAAGCAGAACAAAACAAACATCCAATAAAAAACACGAGTTGCTAAAACTGGAGCTTCCATGCTAGCTATCATGCTAGCTTCAGCTTCCAGTGAGACCTCAGGTGAGCACTGTTGCCACGGTAACGTTTGCTTTCCTTCCTCCATTTTTGTTTTTTTTTTACCCCGACCACAGCTTCTCGCGAGACTGCGGGTAAAAGTGGCAGAGGGGAGGCAGCCTGGATGATCTCATCCCTCCAGCAGCTGCATAGCGCAGCGAGGCCGACCCCTAACTTTCTATCAAACTTCCAAGTTCCCTCTCCCGGAGCAGGGACACACACGCACCGGGCTGGCGTCGGTTCCAGCGGGAGCTCGCAAAGTTTCTCCCCCTCAACAACCCCCGCGGAGGTAAGTGAGGAGGAGCCGTGCGCAGTGTGTGTGTGTGTGTGTGTGTGTTGGGGGGACTCACAGGGACCTGGCTACGAGTTGAAACAGAAAGAGGGAAAAAAAACCCAGAGCCCTCTTGGTTGTTGTTGTGTGACATCCAGGAGGGAAGGTGAGTCCGGAGCGTGGCGGCGGTGCTACGGTCATGTGCGGGGTGTTGCTCGCCGTTCAAGGTGCCTACACACTCACACACACACACTCACAGACACACACTCTCACAGACACACACTCTCACACACACACTCAGCATCTGTCGGCGGTGTGAGGACAAAGCACATCTCTGTGATGTGTGGAGCCACTGCTCAGTTTTTATTTCTTCAACTAATGAGGCTAAGACGCGTTTGGACCCGACTATCACTTGGGCTGTGTGTCTGCTGCGTCGTATGTATATGCAGTGTATATGTCAAGGGCATCGCTTCCACAGGCGATTCACAGGTGGCACGGTGTGTCCCCCGCTGCATATGGACGCTCTCCTTGTGTAAATCGGTGTTTCTCCAGCGTGGTGTTTCCCCGCGTTGTTGCCACACGAGCACTGGCTCCACGAACCGGGCGATCTCCATGTGCAACATCTGTGCGATTTGACTTGTTCACAGCCTGTCCACGTTCAACATCTGGCCGATCAGACCAGGGCAAGCTGAACGCATGATGATAGGGGAATTCTGTACATCAGGGTATATGCAGGGTAGTCATGGACCCATTGTGATCAGATAATACCCATTCAGACACCTCCCTTTGCTCATTTATTCATGCCTAATGTGCAGAATATACACAAAACCATCCTTATTGTCCAACACAGGCACGAGAGTGAATACAGAGCATCACAGCGGAGGCACCAGGACAGAATGGGAAATATCTGGTAATGCAGGGACTACAGGGACTACAGGTTTCTTTTGCTAGAACCGATGCCAACCCTGCAAAGTTCAGACACATGTTCTTCTGTCTCCGGTATTTACAAAATACCAGCTGCAACAACTATGCAGGTAGGAAATTAAAAATCTCTGGGCTCCCCCCTCGCTGAATCACAGCTCCCACTCCAGTAGCAAAGCTTGGCATGAGTCAGGTGGAAAGAATAGGAAGCTTTGGAGTTGAGCTTTGGGCAAGGATCAAGGATTTTTAGCATTCTTGGTGGGCTTAGCCGCCCAGCGGCGGGCATGACTGATCACACAGGTCCCACTGCCATTTTTAATAGTGAGTCTAATCTCAGCTTTGTGCCGTCTGCTTGTTTTCACACCGGACGACTTCTTGCTCTTTCTCTGATGGGATTTATTCCAGGGAATTAATCTAATGCAAATGTCAGCAGCTCATTTTTTGTCACGACTGGGGGTTATATACTTGCTCCTTTAAAAAAAATAAAAAATGAAAAAAAAAGTGGCCTACAATCAGGCCAGGGAGTTTGTTTTTCATGCTGTTTACAAAATGCCATTCAAGTTTAAGATAAGACAGACATGTGTGGGCCTGAAAACAGCTCCCTCAGACAGTGTAGTTTGCAGCCGTACATGACAATAAGCTAAAACAAACAATAAACAATATTTCTTTTTGCTTCTAATCAAAATGCAACTACAGGCAAACTCTGTGTCTCTTTTGGGAAAAACCTCTGCCTCTCACATTTCTCACCGTCGTAAATGGTCCTCCCCCTGTTGTGTTCCTGAAGGACAGTGTTTCTATTTTCACTGTTTGCATCATACTTCTCACGTAACAATAACAATTGCTAGCGTGCTTCATTTGTAGTAGTGTCTTTTCCAATGTACCCACACATTCAGATGCTTCCTGTTGCTAAGTTGGGCTTCAGTTTCTTTTGTCTCGTGTGCATTGGCTCGGAGGGAATAGCTCGAGCAAAGATAAAAGACAACAACAAGCGGAGCATTGTACTGTTTTATAATTTGCCCCTCTGGAATGTGTGGGCTGCAATTATGCTAAGTGGCCATCAGGAAATGCTTAAATTAACTGTTTACATTATATAATATAATAATAATATAACAATAATGATTCAGATACCTGTATTCCGACTTTGTATATCGGCCGATACCGAGTTCCAGTGCTTTACCAGCACATTAAAAAACAAAAAAACCCAACTTATAATATATTTCAACAGCTGTTTGCTACTAACCCTGTATGGAAGTGATGATTGATTTCATTGTTGGACTCAGGTTTAAGATAATTAATAATATAGAACTTCTTTTATTATCTAGTTTGACTATCATGACTTAGAAATTACTTCATCTTATAGCTCGAAAAGGAAGTACACATTGCTGTTTTAATTGTGTTACAGTGTGAAATAGTTCCAAATTGTTTAGTGTCTGGCTCTGACTCTTGGTAACGTTACGCTACGTTATCACTTTTCCTTCACTGCTTTAAAAACAGAACTTGCTAGTGGCAGTACAGCACAACTGCTGTTTTGGAGCAATGAAGAAGTTACATAATATCTCAAACTTCTTGAATTCACCTTTGGGGAATGTGCAGCACCACCTGACTGACGAGCTGCTCTGACGTGGCTGCCCCGTCACCTCCCTGTGTCTGTTACTGACAACAGACCAGATGACAAACCTTGAGATACAGACTCTGCATCATCTGGTGCACTGACACGGCCAATGTCAGCTACAAGGCTGATTTCTTCAGACCTGTTTTTTCAATTACAAAGGCCAAAGTGAGTCATGTACTCCTGAGTTGTGACACGACCTCCAGTAACAGCATGAAATATACCACTTTAAAAAAAAAGGAAAAAAAAGGAAGCTCCGTCACTTTTTGCATGTGTGATGTGTCTGGCCAGGATTTTTCACCCAATAGTCAGAAGTCAAATGACTTGATGATTATATGGCCTCTGTTTTTTTTTCCCTCAGTGTGAGCATCGTTTTGCTGGTGGCAGAGGGGGTGGATTAGTTTGACTGTAATGAGGTGTGACTGTGGATCTGTGCTTCCTGCTTGCTAAAATGTTGGAATGCTCAGTCTTTGTCTGGATTGGATGGTCTGCGGTGTATCAACAAATGGGGGGGGCAGAGGGCTCAAAGGCTACAATGGTGATGATGTAATCTCTTTTCAGCACACTGTCACTGACCAAATGCAAACAGACAAAGGATAATTCCCTCCTCCTCACCCCACCTGCCACAAAGTTTGGGTCAATTTTGACCATGACTGCGCTGACACCATGAGGACAGGTGCACGAGTGTCGCCGCCTGCTCGGATCTGTGCTGAGTGCTGGGTCTCAGTTTGGTGGTTTGTTTGCTTAAATGTCCCTGGACTTAAGCAAACTCTGTGTCACCCTGCTTCCAATTCTTAACCCGAAACCA